TACAATATGAAGTGAAGGGATAAAAATAAAATATTTTAATTTTTAAGATAAAAAATATATTTTATCTTAAAATTTCGTTACTATTTGATAGATAATAAATCGTTTGTTTAATATGAAAAATATAAGAATTATTTGCACATAAGGTGAGGAGTTCTCTCCCAAAAAACTATGCAAATAATAACGAATATGAAGAAGAGTGAAATGTTAAAAAAAACAAAAAATTATTATAATTTATATATCGACAATAATTAATATTATATTTGATATGTTATTTTAGTTGATTTTTAGTTTTGTGAGTACAAATTCAACTTTAACTAATAACTTTAGAATAATATGTGTATTATGTTTGTAGAAGAAGAAAATAAGTTAACTAATTATTTCTTTTACTAATTGAAAAATTTATTTGATCTTATTATTATTGGTATTTGTTAACCAAACTTTTTTTAAATAACTTGTATAGTTAAAAAAAAAATGATTTTAACTTGACATATTTTGGGTGTAAAAAAATCCTTATTATATTTATTTTTTATCTTTAAAATATTTACTAAATTTCTTTCTTATCTTTGGTAGAAATTTATTATATATAAAATGTATTAGACACTAAAATGTGAGAAAATAAGTGATGAATTATAAGTATTATTTAATTATAAATTATTATTTATGATAAATTATTGATCTTTAAAAAATATGTATAATAATGATATCTGAGTAGTTAATATTATTAAAATTATGAGTGTGGATAGGTGTTAACATACTTTTCTTCTTACTATTAAATAGTTTATTAATATCGGTTGATTAGATTTTATAAGGAGATGTCTGCCCCAAATCTTTAGGATTGCAGCAGAAATCGAGGTATGCAGATCATGTTATTAAAAAATTATAAAGTTGACATAACTTTGTCACCGTTGTAATTAAAAGATAAAAACATGTAATGGGCATTGTCATAACTTTATCACCGTTCTATTATAAAGACAAAAACAGCCTTATAAGCCATCTGGATTAATAATGAATAATTTTCCGGGATATTTATAGTTTATTTTTATATCAATTCATATATATTTTATATATATTAAATACAAATGAAAGAACAATTTTTAAAAATTATTCTTTAACAAAAGATTTTGACAACTTTTAAATTTTTTATATTTTATTTTATTTATTATATTATTTATGAATTAAATTGTAATATTTTTAAAATAAGTTATCAATAATTAAAATAATATTTTATTTGATAAATATAAAAAAGATTAATAAAAATAATATAATTTCTTATTTTAAATATAAAATATAATTTATATATTAAAAAATCTATTTATAATAATATTAAATCTAGTATTCATTTATATGTAATTTATTACAATTTTTAGTCATATATAATAAATATTCAACTTAAGAAATATACATGTTAAAATATCAGTTACAATTAAATATACATCCTTATCTTTGAATTATATATATTTTTTAAGTTATTTCATAAAGAGAGTGCTTTTAAAATTTATTTTCACCATTATCGACTCATATATCATTCTAATTATATACATTGATTATTTGATTTGATTTGAACTTTTAGATTTATATTCCTTTCAAATATTTATTTAGTTCATTATTAAAGAACATTTTCTATATAAATAGGAGATTTATCTTCCTCAAGAGTTTGACAAGCACCCGTACAAATTAGATGATTTCATCCCAATTATTAAGCAATACATCATCTTCATACAATACTACATTCACATCATTTATTGTATAACAACTCATACACCGTTGCACTTTCAACATAGACAACTTAAATAGCGTACATTATTTAATACACCCTATAATAATTTGACAACACGACTTAAAGCACTTAAGAACTTGTATAACTTGAGTAATTTCATTATAGATACCATATAACACATAGTCATCAAACAACATCACACTCACAACTTATACCATATAGCAGCCTATACATTTTTACACCTTTAACTTAAACCATTTTCAATATGCACATATACATATCACCAGACAACATGAACATCTATGTCATCAACACATCACAAATAATATAGACTAACGCAAACACTCATTCAACTATCATCCACCCAACACCTTCAATAAAATAACATAGATTATATATATATATATAT